CAGGAGCAGGAGGTGTTAGATGAAGGTGATGCTAGGGATGGGGGGAGGGGAGGAGAGAACGAATGTGTCCTTGTATTAACACTGCAGAGGGTCAGGTGTGGTGGCTTAAGGCTTTAATCTTAACATTTGGGTAGCAGCAGCAGGCGGATTACTTTGAGTTCAAGACTAAGCTGGTGTCCTGGCCTACAGAGAAAATTCCAGGCCAATCTGTCTTTAAAAGGAGTTTTGGGAAATCCAGGGGTTTGCAGCAGTAGCCTCGGAAGAGTGACTCCCACTGCGGTAGACTGTGGGAAAGACGCTCCGACTCTTAACTGAGTCATTTGGAATTCCTGTGGGCTGGCCTCTTGGATGTGGTCATCAGTGAGGAGGAGAATGTCAAAGTTTTTATTTTCAAAGCTTCCTCCTGGACTTGGGTTAGCATGATTTGTGCACTGTGCACAGGAGTGGGAGTCAGGTTACTCTGTGGGAAGCCAAAAAACCGGAATCCTGCTGAATACAATGCCACATGCCTGATGGTTCCAGAACTCAGGATGCCTGGGAAGGAAGACTGAAAGTTCTAGGCCATCCTGGGCTACACCCATCTCAAAGTGAAACAAAACAAAGCAAACACAAGAAATAGGGAAAAGCAGCTGCCGTGGGTACTCACCAACAATTGTGCTGTTGGTGGACTAAGGGACAGGGAGGCTGATCCTCAATCCCGGGCTGTGCTCCCCTGGTCACCAACATCACTCTCACCTGAACGCTCTGAGGAAGGCAGCATCCCAAACTACATTGGGGTCTGGATTCTGACGGTATACGACTTAGAAACACTCCAAACCTGTGTCTGAGGACCCGAACTAAAGCTTTCAAATCCAGTCATGGGCAGCCAAAGAAGTACAGGAATGGGCAAGGAGGCCTACGCATGGTGCCTCGGGCACAGCAGAAGGATGGCCCCAGCCCTCCGCACAGGCACGGGAGGCAACGCCAGGACTTTGGAATCCTTTCAAAAGGAGCAGAAAATCCTGACTCCAATGTGGAACCTTCAAACTTTTAAATCCCGGCAGCCAATGTAAAAATGTACATTTCATTTTTGAAAAGTTATAAACAAAGAAACAGAATGTTCTAACCTGGGGTGGCATGGGGACGGGCGAGGAGGACAGAAAAAGGAAGGAAGCATGGCTCTGTCATCTGTGTTAGGACACTTACCTGTGCACAGAATATGTGTGTGCGCGTGCACATCCATTTATTTATTTGTTTATTTATTTATTTACCTATTTATTTATCACCAGGCAAAAGGCTGTGAGAATGACTATTGCTAGGGAGGGTACCTGGGATAGAACGGATACAAGTCCTTTTAAAATATAAAACTGTTTTATCGTTTTATTTGTACGGGTATTTTGTCTGCATATATGTCTGTCGTGTACCACATGTATGCCTGCCTGGTGAACAAGACCACATAACTTCTCCCTGCCTCAGGGATATTGCCCTAAATGAAACAAGCCAGTCACCAGAGGGCACGCTCTGTCTAGTTACACGCACACAAAGCACATAGTAAAACCATGGAAAGAGAATGTTCCAAGGGCTGGGCAGAATAACTGTTTAGTGGGTAGTTTCCATTTTGCAAAATGAAGGTTTTAGCCATCTGTGGCCTAACAGTGTGAACGCGGGTCACACTATTGTACACTTGAAAATCACACCACAAAAGAAGGGAAGAGAGGAAAAAGGGGAGGGAGAGGGAAGGATGTAGGGAGAGAACCTGAGTCACCAAGTCACCATTGCAGAACAGTCCGTTCAAGTCTAGTAGCTTCTGTCCCATCAGGACACGTGAGGGGGAAACCTGCCTGGACAGCTAGACTCGGGTCCTGTGCGTCCGCTAAGCATGTGCCCTTCCCTCTGGGCTTTTCCCTGCCCACCACCGAGTGCTTCAATCACGTGAGCGCTGTCGTTCCACTTTCTGCATTGGAAGAGGATGTGTTGGAAAGCCAATCCCACGTGGGCTATGAGTTTTCCCACCATGCTCTCCCCACACACGGACTAAATTCACCTGATTTTCAGACACTCCCAACGAAAGAGTAAATTCTCAATCTTCTGAGCTACGTCCTCTGATGTTGCTTTGTTCCAATACACCCTCCCTAGCATGATGAACTAGAACCTTTGAAACTGTGAGCAGAAATTAATCTTCTTTAAGCGGCATGGCAGTGTGTGTGGCAGCGTGTGGCAGCGCGGCCGTGTAGACGGAGAAGTCACCGCTGCAGTCAGCGCGGCTGCAGGGGCATCACGTGGACCTCTCCTCGAGCACTCACAACAGTGGCTGCCGCTCATGGGAACTGTAGAAAGTGGGCTCGACGACTTTCCAGAACTGGGGCTGTAAACGTGGCTCCTGCCAGTACCTGCCAGCATGAGGCTAGACTCATGGGAACCAAGGAGGGAGGAGCCAGCCACCAGAGCCCAGCAGCAAAGGGCCTAACCGCCACCTAACAGTTTAAACTTCGGCTCATGCAGAGAACACTACACACTTGAAAAACAACAACAAAGCAGGTCCAGGCCGAGAAAAACCTCTGAACAAATTACAATATGCTTGAAAAACTGCTTAGATGCTAAAAAAAAAAAAAAAAAAGAAAGAAAGAAAAAGAAAAAAAAAGAAAAAATTGGTATAGATTGTCACATAAACAGTTCAATAAAATAAAGTTTTTAAAGAAAAGTAAAGTAATATTTTTTTCTAAAAAAAAGCCAGAAAGGATGGGAAATACATGGGACACCTGGATCCTGTATGTTGCTTTGTTGACTTTGAATTTTTTAAATGCTGATGAGCAAACACCAGCTGCTGAGAGACCTTGGATTGTGAAAGGGATTGATGAGTTAAACCAGTATATATACTTTACGGATGTCTTGCCTTCAGAATAGAAGTCTGGAAATGTGTTGTTTCCACAAGAAATGAAAAACTATGGATCTCTTCAAAATTAATAAAGATAAAATGTGACCAGGGGAGACCTCTTGAGGATCTTGGCTACAGACATGAGGGAGGAAGCCACGAAAGACTGCAGGACAGGTGACCTAACTGCTGATTCCTCTGCATGGGAACAACTCTGAGACCAAATGAGACATGATAAATCTTGTTGGCCATTCGGGAGGCAGAGATAGGCGGATCTTTGTGAGTTCGAGGCCAACTTGGTCTACAAGAGCTAGTTCCAGGACAGGTTCCAAAGCTACAGAGAAACCTTGTCTCAAAAAAACCAAAATAAATAAATAAATAAACCTTGTTGGCTACAAAATCCTCATAATATTTGGTCATACAGTCCAAACAGACTTATAAAGTCTCTTACCTACTCAAACATAAAATAAATCATCTTTAGTTGACACGTACACATCACACAATTCTGTATTTGTGTTAATACAGATATATATGCTACCTTTAAAAGTTGGTATGTTTTCAGAACCAAAGGACTGGGCGTGAATAAAGGCAAGACTAGTCCAAATGGTCGAGCCTCTCAGTTACAGTTTCCTCATATGAAAAAGTTAGTCCTTGCTCTTTCCAGAGCTGCAAGGTCTCTTG